ACATGTCAACTCTTGGGTTTATAGGGTTTAATAGATGTCCTTGGCTCTCATAGGGCACAGTTGAGACCAGAAGTGTCCATATCCCATCGCACTCCTAACCGGAATCCCAACTAGTAATGGGAGGGTGCAACAGTGAATGCGGATGGCGTCGCACATCCGCACTTTGTTTGCCTGAGGAAAGAAAATTAATTGGGTGAATGTGAATAAAGATAACCTGACATTTTGAAGTTTGGAGGGCCAGTGATTTATTCAATTATTTACAGTTGAGACCAGGACACACTTTGGGGGGCAGTTGGGTGCAGGGGGGGTTGCACCATCTTGAGCATATGTGAATGCCTAAAATCATAATTTTTACAGCAGAAGCAGTAAAAAGGCTAAAAAAAGTTGAAAAATAACAGACTTACTGGCAGAGACAACAGGTAGTAAAACTATTTAACAAGGGGGCTCAGAAAAAACAAAGGCTGCTGTGTTAATGCTATTGACAGACTGAATTTTTTATTTTGCCCATAGTTTCACTTTAATAAAGTTTCTACTTATGTCTTCCAGACACAGAAACAATGTATCACATGATTCACTTGATTAAGTATCCATGAATATGGCACAAGAGAAGGTAATTTTGAAACATTTCTTGTGAATGGTATTTAAATCTTGCCCAAAAGTCCATCCACTGTAGATGCATTCAAAGCTTTTAATGCAGTATGACCATTAATAGAAGGCAGCACTGCACACTTCATTGAATGAAAGTAAAGCAGCATGAAAATGATACTGCATCAAAGTCTGCTAACAGAACAGCATGAGGATACATTTCACACTTTGTTGATAAGGAAACAAGAAACTGTGAATGTCTTTCTTTGTAACAATTGACTTTACATGTCTAGTCAAAGAGGAAAGAAAGGGAAAAAAAAGAAAACCGCTTGTTTTTACTGTCTGGTAACTGTCAGCATTTGCTATGCATTGATTCAGTTCACAAAAATAGAGTTATGTAAGCTTGATATCTAGGCACATTTTGTAAGCCATTTTTAATCCAGTTAGGTATTCATTAAAGGATCATAACATGTATTTTACATGCAGCTACAGAAGTACCTAAAACTATCTGGGTATTAGCCTTCTGTAATCTCCTGCCCTGCAGCATTGGAAAAGAAAGCAATAGCATGGCATGTCAGTCAAGCTCCACTTCATTACACACTTTGCATCTTGCACTGGGAGCTTCCTGACAGGAGGCGAAAGCAGAGTTATGAGTTAATCTGTGTGCTTATGTTGCTTATTTGCCCTATCACAGGCTGGGACAGATTCTAGAAAAAGTCGATTTAACTCTTGGCGCTAATGATTACCATCACACAATCCTCCAGGAGTAGCCTTTCTTGTAAGTACCCACAGCTTTTGGAGAGGCTGCCCGTCAAAGAGACTCTGGGGTTCTCATCAGATACATAGAAGACAAAAGCAACAAAGCGCCACCTCCTTGTGTGAAATCTTTTTTTATTTGAATAAAATATTATAAATACTCACAATTATAACATTTCAGTAACGCTTGTCAATAAGAGACCACAAGATCAGTGTCACCATACCATCGTGCCACCGGCTGCTTTTAGGCTGGATTTACGCATTTCAGGGGCATTCCCCTTCCTCAGAATCACAGCTTGCCTTGTCAAAGAGAGGGGTTTAAAAAAACAATCTCTGGGAGCTTCCTGACAGGAGGCAAAAGCAGAGTTATGAGTTCATCTGTGTGCTTATGTTGCTTATTTGCCCTATCACAGGCTGGGACAGATTCTAGCCTAGGCTGTGCTGCCCAATTGCAGCACAGTCTGCAGAAGGTTTCTTGGAGTGCAGGACCCGAGTGACTGACTATTGTCTGGCAGGGGTGTCTAGACCACAAGACCAATTGAACATACTTTAAAATCCTTTGGTCAGTTAGACATTTTACAAATATACAGTTTAAAGTGACCCTTTCTTTTCTTTGATGCACATGCAGCTATGTGAAGCCTGCAGCGAAACCAGCACTTCTGAGAGTACCAAACTTATGGGTCCCCTGCAGCTGTCACTGTTTTCTCCTGCTGACTTCCCCAACACATGTGATCTCTACTTTCTTAATCTACATTCAGTGCTATGACAGGTTTACTTTAGTATCATATTCACACATGAGTATAAGCATTTATAGGTGCTTTTGAAGCTCTTTCTTTTTAAACATGTGTGCAGCTTTTGTGTTTTCTATGTGTTTTCAAGCTTCAAGCATTTCTGTTTTGGCCAATAGAAAGCATCATCATCTGTGACGTCTTCCTATATGCCCCTTCCTGGTTTTTCTGTGTGGTGTTGTAGTGCCTTGTGTTATCAGAGCTCCCAATTCTGGAAACATTTACAACAAGTTTCTTCCCAGGTCCTCTGCCCTTGTCACAGTTCTTGTAAAGGGCATCACTAGAAGCGCAGAGGTTATTGTAAGCCCTCAACAGGCGGATGAAAGTCTCCACATCCAACATGGATACTACTGAATACTCCATTTTGTTTACAGGCCTGAGGTTGATAGGAGGAGGAGCTTGGTTGTTAGGCACAAAAATGCATAAAAGACAAGAAAGGCACTAAAATTGTTGCACATTTTTAGGTGCTTCCATTGACCCCTATGGGATCAAAAGTGCATGATTCTGCCTGAAAAAAAAGCACATGTACCTTTTCGAGCAACAAATGGCAGCATTGCACTCAGGTGTAAAGTGCAACATTGAATATAATGGAAATTGCCATGCTGAGCATTGCTGTTCTTCAGAAAACATTGAACACATTTCTCAGGTATAAATGGGGGCTAAATGAAACCTGCACTGAGGTGCCATATTGCAGTGCCATTGTTGATTCTTATAAAAATGCTAATTTTCTAGCTTTCAGACTAATCCCATACTTCCACCAATCTCATTCATTGACACAGAAGTATAAATATACTACTGGCATGCCACATATTTTAACAGTGTTGGTTTTGTTACAATTAGAAAGTAACCCTATTTATCTTTGACTCTGATGACTTTACAGTTATATGGAGAGCTCAGGTAAATTAAAGCAGTGTTGAGAAAAATCTACTGTAGAGGTTGCCTTGCTGTCTTCTCATTTTGAAAAAGATAACTGCCAATACTTTCTGAGACACTGACCTGGAACTAGGTAGGTCAATGGCCATAAAATTATCAAATCAGGTGGTTAACATGTCTGCCAGATTAGAATATGGAACTCAGCAGTGGCAGCCTCTGAATTTCTATCAACAAAAGATCGCAAAAAAAATATTTATCTCACCACCATATGTTAACTGGAGCCATGCAATAAAATAGCTGCAATTGTATTCAGCCCATACGATGACTTTACAATCCCTGCAGTGCACATAGATGTCAGCATGCTCGATACAATGACTCTACACAACAACCACTATAACATAGCCAGCTCCCTGTCCCTCACCAATTCTGCATTATTTTTTTTCTACAGTTGCTTGTATACTGAAATTTTACAATTGTCTTTTCCCTCATATTGGAAAAAAAATATTATCCATCATAAAAAATCTCAGCAGCGTCCTTCTAATAGACTCATAAAGCCTTGCAGGAGGCACATCTAGCATTGTACATGATTGAATGTATAGCTTTGTGAAGCACACAGTATAGGTTTTCAGTAGTTAATTCCGCAGTTCCTGCTGTGTGGATGAATAAATGTGTCCTGCAGTATGCCAGCTTTCCACATGTAAGCTTCATAGACTCCATTAGGTCAATATATAGGCTAGTTCCGAAAAAATGGTTCCAGTAGAACTCTGATCCAGGAGCAACTGGCCCCTGTTTACTCATCAGCATCCTTTATGACAATGGGGGGTTGCAGCTACCGTGAGAAAAGAAGACCAGCCCTTGAATTGGGCTTAAACAAGCACGTTGTTTGTACTAGAGATCTGCTGCTGCTGTTGAAGATCCAGTCATAGCGCCTGCAGCAGCCACGTCCCCCTCAGAGCCTCTGCTGACCTAACTAGAACAGCGCAGCGCTCTCCAAGGTGCTGAAGCGAGCGAAGCCTTCCGACTGCACGGGGAACCACACCAAGCTGACTATGCAACAGAGAGCAAGTAAGAGGGAGAGAGCACAATGCTGCCTCCATGAAGACACAAGTATTCCAAAGGAAAACGCCTTGCTGGATAGCTCCCATCTAACACAGTGTGTTTTTTGCCTGCAGTAAGCGTTACATAAACAGCAAGGTAACAAATTCCATGTGGTTCCTTTAATTCAGCTGTCACCTTGCATTGGCAATATTTAATTCTGAAGCTTGGAGATCTTGGATATTTTTTTTCCATCCCACTGTGTGTTATTTTCTTGCTACCCTACAGGAAGCCTAAATACCCGTTAATTGTATGTTAATATGAATCTGCTGATCATGTCACTTGCCATAGGCACCCGTGGCTCCTGAGTGCTCAAGTGATGCTGAGTTTGAAGTGACAGCTTCAATGTGAAAGTTTGGGGATCGTCTTTCTGTGATGACACCAGACAAAAGTTTACAAGGAGCCTTATTCTTTGTCATCGGAGCGCCAGACTGGGCCAGACAAGTCCTGAGGATCTGCAGAGGACATTGGGACTCGGATGCAGCCAAGATTAATGCAATGGATGATTTTTGGCATGTCTACAAATTTCCTTGATCATTGGAGCTGGATGAGGTGGATAGTAGCTGCTGCTAACGTGGATTTACACATGAGATGGAGTATACATGGTAACACAAAGGTGGATTATGACATGCTCTCAAGCCAATGAGAATCACTTCCGTTTATACATCGAATTATTAAGTCATCTTTAAAGAAATGTTGAGCTAAATATGCATGCTTAGTCAATGGACAAAGCTGTGATTTCTCACCGATAACTGTGTAACATCATTATTTTACAGTCACAACAGCCAGGGATGTCACACTATTCACGACAAACTTTCCAAATAAAGACATTCCTAAAATGATCAATTGCACGGAGCTTTAGATTACTATTAGGATATTTAATAGTTGATAATCGATTCACTTATGAATTGTGGTCCAATGCCTCTCTATCCAATGAGGTGCTGGTTGCTGTCCAGGTGCCCGGTGGTGCTGAAATTTGGATGATGTCTAGCAGGAGAACTAAAAGCTGCTGCTGCTTACTGCCACTCAATGAAGACAACGGGCGATTCCTTCTCCTAGCCATTTTTATCGTGCTCTACCTGATCGCCGGAGCCACTATCTTCTCCACCATAGAGAGGCCCACAGAACTCGTGGCTCACAACCGATGGGACAGGATATTAAAGAACTTTAGCCAGTCGTTTAATATCAGTCTCCAAGAGCTCAGGTCTTTTCTGCGAGATTATGAAACAGCCATGGCAGTAGGGATTAGGGCAGATGCCCTCAGACCAAGGTGGGACTTCACTGGAGCACTGTACTTTGTAGGGACAGTCGTCTCTACAATAGGTAAGACATTGCTTTACATCAGGAATTGGGTGTATAGATAGGATGTTGTGAGGTCACCATTATTCTGGAGACCTTAAAGGAGGTCTCCAGGTAATACTGAAAATAGCAATTGATTGGGATCCTTTATATAGTAAAATTAAGAGGGTCCCTCGATCTATAAGAACACATTTCATATACATGCTGGTAAGATTTTGTCTTGTCATGAGACAGTACATAGTGGGTCCTGGAGGGTGTGACCCCCTACATATATAGAGGACTCACACGTAGGATATTTCCATTAGTTTTATCAAATTAGTTTGCAATGGTTCAGAGAGACAAATCTGCATAAATTCTCATACAATCGTATCCTTATCTCTTAAATTGGAAAGACCAAAATGTGACTGTGGAGTACTGTGCTTCTCCACAATAGATATGACATTGCTTTACACCAAGACTTGGGTTTACAAGCAACATGTTGTTAAAATAAGTTGACAGTTTAGCAGATTTTGTACTTCTATGAATGATGTTGAATGATTAGAAACTATACTGTTGTGGATTATTACATTTAAAGTTATTGTTGGCTAAGCTGCAGGTAAATTATTAATTAGTGTTATGCACAATACGCTGATACCCATCCTGCCTTTTTAAAGCAAAAATAAATTAAAAGTGGATGTAGGAAAGAGCCACTGGTATGTAAAAGCAGGAACCTCCACGGGCCTGAAAATCAGTAAATTTTTCCTATTGCACACCCTGGAAGCCTTAAAATCAGGGGCACTCTAATATGCAATTTGTTTTACAAGCGCACATGGTCAAGAGCCTGACCTCCTCCCTCTTCCCCCGACATCTCACTATTACCCATTAGGGCAATCCATAAAAGTAATGGGTCAATAGTGAGACACAGGAGATGGGTGGGTGGCCAATATTAGTATACTAGAGCTCCTTGGGATGCGGGGCTTTTGGAGTGCTCTATAGAGAAAATGGAGGTGCCTGTTATTATTTACCAGTCACCAGGGACACTTTACTATTTTTATTATTACTTAAAGTTTGCTTCAAAAGGAAACAATATTAGTCTCTCCAGAACTGACGCTGGAGCCAAAACTATGGAAGATTGCTCTTGCAATTAGAGTTGGTAGCCACATATTACTTGAACTTCTGACCTTCGTTATAAAGATCCCAGTGCAACTGAGTAGCTAGAGTATGTGTTATCTGGATTGGATGCCAGTCTGTTTATTTCACCACTAATTACTATTAAAAAAAGTCAGTGTTAATGTTATTATATGTAAATTCACTTATTATGCTACTTTAATGTTATAAACATATATCAACCATTCTATAGGTATACCTCTGTAATATATGTTCTATGTTAAAAGCTACTATTCAGCAAAATATTCTCACACAATAAAATGTCTTACTATGTGTTGTTATGGCAAATACAAAGATAAAAGAGTTCAAGGGTGCCCTCTCTTGGTCAAGTGTGTATTTGTAAGTAACCGTGCATGCATGGTTCAGTGCAGTTTTTGTAACAATGTAAATATTAGCAGCAGCAGCTGTGTGTGTATGCATGTGTGTGTGCGTAGGGATAGTAAAGCAAAATACAAGTTATGTATCCAAATCCAAACACAAATATGCTGCTCCAGATTTTGTCTGCTCCAGTTTTGATAAATTCCCTTCATTGTGTCTGATCCCATCTCTGAAAATCTATGTAGAATAATTGATATTTTTGTTGAGAGTGGTTCCCCAGGGGGTGTCTGCAGAAGTACCACATTGCCCATAGAATACAATTATTTCCCAACGTGATTGTCATCAGCCAACAATAATCTTATGTCTATTGTATAGTCAAACTGGATGATAACAAGAGACAACAGGTTATCATCAACTGCACAGATATCATTTCAGGATCTCTGCATTGGTACAGATAATAGAACACTTGCATATAAACGCTTGACTGTTATACTCCTATTACTCGCTTATTGTCTATTTGATAGTCATCAGTAGCATCACCTATGCCCTGTTACAGTGTTTCTTTCAGCTAAGGTCACAGACATGAAATGGGCAAGAGATGACTCAAAGTATTTTTTTTTGTCATCTACAGAATTCAATAGGCAGACTTCCATCAGTCAGAGGTATGAGGTTATGACTCAGACACAAACAGGAACCAAGGAAATTAACTTACAGTGCTTTATTACGCAATTTAAAAAGTATCAGGGTAGAAATGGAACAAATGCCTTAAAAGCGTAGGAAATAAATATTTAACAGAGTCTCTTCTATGTATTCCATTACCAGCTTTTATTCTACAGGCATACGTGCAGAGTCAGACTGAAGATAAAATTAGCAATATTTGTAGCTAAAGACTACCGATCTATTTTGGCATATGCAGTGTAGCCTGCTGATTCTAAGCTTTACGGATATACCCTTCTATAACCAAAATGTCTCTATTAAAGTTCATCTAAAGGCTCCTGTGTTACAGCCAAAACAGGTCCCAAACCAGTAACTATGTGATGCACAAACCTCATAAATTAAAACAAACTTTCTTCACCTCCCCTGTGTGAGTCAAATCCTCTTTCAGTTGTGTCTCACACATTCCCCTTCCCAGACACTGCAGCTCACATTGAGAGGGTTTCAGCAGCAGAAGCAGTTCTGTCAATCTAGACAGCACTGGGCAGGACTGGGTGTGTCTAGCTGCTTACTGACAAGCTACAGTAAATTAGCAGTGACACTGCTGATGGGCCCCTACAACAATTTCTCCTCACACTATAGCCCAATCAGGCACTTGAGGTTGACAAAAATGCTGCTCTGAATTCAGCAGCAGTGCAACAGCATTATTGCCCTTTCACAGGAAGCTGCATTAAGCGGCCTTCGCTGGCAGGTTCAAGAGGTATTTGTGGAACTTTGCAGGGGGACTAATGGAAAACTGAAAGTGCAGATGCTATTTTGTAATAGAAGACCATAGTTCTGCTTTAACTGTAAGAAGTGCTCTGTGGAGTATAGGAACCACTGGTTGAAAACCATTTCTATAGCTGGCTTTTATGAGGGAGGTAATAACATTCATATTGTTTTTGCTGGCTGCCCTAAATTTTTGACAGTGAAGTTGTGATATACAGGCCAGTAAATTCTTCTGTTTATTGAAACAGGGCTGAGCAGCCATAAAATCTCACACCATTTCATTGATATTCTCAGACTTTCTAGAAAAGATGGCAGATTTCCAGTCTGTGCCTATTTACATATAACTTGGATGTGCCTTTTAAACTAAAATGAGTCTTAAAAACATTATAGGAGGTGAAGAAGAAATAGCAATAGACCAGCCATAGCTGTGGTAACTGTTACGGCTTTCAGTATGTGTTAAAAAGTTGCAATTTAAATTTTTTTATAACATGTTTTGTGCCTCCGTGCTGCCCCTGCGCTAGATCAAATATTAGACCAAGTGTTACATTACAGTATACCTGTGAATATCAATACATTACTAGACTGGTATTAGTAATAAAAATACAGACAAGTCGTGATACCTGCTCATTTAGCTGGCATCTCTAGCACCGTGCCCTCAGGGCCAAGGAGCCCTAATATGCAATTTTCGACACTTTTTCTTAGGGTCCATTGCTGACCCATCCTCCTGTCCCCTCCAGCGCTATTGGCTTATCACCCTGATGGGCATTTTCACTAGCCAGTAAAAAAGGCACAGAAGGCCTAGATGGGGTGTGTCATCTATTTGTATTGCTAAGCAACATTAATATGTACACATTAGAATAAGCTAGGATTTGGAGCTTTTGGAGAGATGGCTTATAGCATTTTATTGCTGAAATTTGTTTAGTAAGTTATTATAGTGTGATTGTGTTTTCAAGGGTTTTGAGTGTATTGATGTATTCTTTGAGTGATGTTAAGGCCAACCAATATAATTGTTGTTTTGTTCCATCAAATGCATTAAATGTAAAGGTTCATTGCCATCACGGCCCAGCTCTTTAGGAACAGCACACCATGAAGCTGAACACCTTCTTCTTTGTTTTAGCAATGACACATAAACAGGGTCCCAGAGTAGAGATGACATACTCTATATGTGTCACTTTTTGAAATTGGTGTAGATCTTTTGACTTTTACAATGTTATGTTTTAAAGTTTTACCTATAATATATGCCATGTTCTGACAATTGTTTGTTGCAAATAAACAGGCAAAATCTGCTTTGTAGATAGATTTTGTTGAAACTTTAGGAGTTTATTGTCAAAGAGTTTGCACCAAAAAAAAAAACAGGCAGCACATGTACCTTTTTTATTGTTTTGTCAGCATGCAGCCTTTTCACCCAGCAGCAGTCTCTCACTGCAGAGCAAGCAAGAGAGAGAACCCTGCGCATCCATCAACTTGCATATATAAAGGCACCTGGGACTGATAATGGCTCCTAGGTACGATGCTGACCTAGCAAGGCTTTATTCTAACAAAAGCTCTACAAAGCCTCCAAGTTCCAGCACCCAGAACAAGACATAATAGGATTCTGAAAAAGCAAAAAGTTTTTTTTCTCCACATCAGTCATACACTCCAGAGCATCTTCAATGTGTGTAGGTGTGAAACATATACACTGTCCACAATCCTGCCAGCCAGTGTTTCACAATCTATATAGATGGTTTGTTTGTTTCAGCACCCTTGATCACTTCAGAACTATCTTTTCTGGTTGCTTATTAGGTTATGGATATTGTATTTCTTTACACTGTGGGGAATCCTCACCCACTGTGATGTCACATACCTTATAAAGCATTCTTGCTGGGACAGAACATAACACAAGTGAGTTTCACTAGAGTAATTGTAAATATTCCCCCAAAAGAATGAACATTATTCTTCTCTTCACCAAATTGCCATCAGAGTGGATTTTTTCTGTTCACTCTTCTCTATTCACATGCCCCTCAATGTGAAGTTATCTAACTATTTTCACCTGAAATACAGAGATAATAAGAGATGTTTTAAGATTGATTGCTTTTGGTTTTGCCCATAGTAAGGCTGCAGGAGGACAATTTTACTGTATAGCGTACCTAATCTGTCTT